ATGCTAGCACTGAATGTGTGCAGTAAACTCCACAGACTGTGTGTGAAAGCTATTGTAGCCACCATGATGCCACCTGTTGGAGCATCAGTGATGGAGTTTTGGACATCACCAGCTAACACTAGCAAGCTAATTTAGCGAGCTGTAGCCATAAAGTGCATGGGTGCAATGCAGACATAATAAGGGTCAGCAACAGACTAATCAATGACATAGTGTGTTGCACAAGAAACATCCCTTAGGTACCAAAGTGACAGCTTCATCACTTCCTCTTGGGAAACAGAGGCACACCCGCCCTTGTTCCCTCGAACTAAATTTATTTTAGCCAGCAGGAATTAGGAAGTGTGTCTGAAGACAAAAATGTCAAATTCATTTCAGAGGTGACACGCTTGTGATTCACCGCTGATGCATTTAGCCTACAGCGCACATCACATGGAGGCTGGGCTATTCTCGACACTGAGGAATTACAGAGTGTGAACATTAAGCTGCACGCTGAGACATTCATGTGTCTCCAGTGTGGCACGCATAACCACACAGCCGCGGCTCAGTGTGATGCAACATGGCTGCTGCAGCACACACACACACACACCTCCGGGTTTACTGTCAAATCCTTGTCTTGGAACGTGAGGGGCAATGCCTCAGGGATCAATGCCTACTGATAAACACTTCAATTACATAGATTAGGTGGAAACATTCTGATTTTTATGTTTTCTTATTGTGTTTATTGACATTCATTAAAGATGATAATTGCAATGTGCTAGTTCTATTATACTGCCCTGCTTCTCTATTCAGGAACAATCATTCCTCACTGCCAACAGCTTGAAAATACTCCCCAACTTCAATAATTCCACCTATTCAGCACTAGCTGTCATGTCTCTGCAGCTTTCTCGCCTCTCTGATGGATAACGGAGTGTTTCACAATTACATCTAATAGATTTCTTCTTATAGTAAATATCATGTAGAGCTCCGATTGTTTGTTTATTACAAACAGAGTCAGTTCTGCGTTCTTCAGCTCCTGTATCGA